ATAAGTGGACGCGGAGTTCATCTAGAGTATAACATTCACAGTTGTACTGCTGGTGCGGAGCTTTGTCGGCTCGAACGCTGAATTCTGGTCCCTGATGAGATTACCTATGATCGTATCCATAAGTAAAATGTAAAATGGATGATTTTCGTTATATCAAATCGTATCGGGCCGAGCTAGCCGGGAAGTTCGAATTTGATTCTTGCACAAAGGTTGGATGACGACGATCGGATCCAACGACGACGACCGGTTTTACCACTTGTAGGCAGAACATGGGCGATACGGTAACAAGTTCTACTGTACGTTCAATAGATTTATAGTACACGTACTAGGTTATTCGTTCAATTGTTCTCGTCGATAGCCGACACCACGTAGATACAAAATATTCGCTGATCACAAATAAAAGATGGTTATTTTGCGGTTTAGAAAGAGAAGGTACGACCGAAAATAGCACTAAGAACGTCTCCTTTCTCTACATTTACCCCTCTACAGCGCGCGGCAAACGCACACGCTGGATTGTAAAGACACGTGGCCGTCAGCTGAAATTGAGTACTAGCTTTACTTTGTAATAGTTCTAATAGGCGGGAACAATTAATCCTGCACGTACAACAGAACACATTGTGAGACGTAAACTGTTCTATCCCGAGAAAAGCTAAAAACGATGCAAAGTGTGAAATGATACTTTAGCTTCTTTTCGTCAACCCCGACCGCTCGGCCACCTTCCTATTTAAAGGTCCCGACCGTGGCTTGTCTATCTTTCGCAGGGCGCGGTCATGTCATCAATACCACATGACATATCGAATGCAAGCACGCAGCGAGAGACAATTTCCTTTGCATAATAAGCCAACAAATAAGTAGAATGATGAATCGATACGACAACCAACAGCCCAGCCCAGCCCAGCGTAGCAGGCCGCCGTCGCAGCAAGTTTCAGCAGAAAAAAGAGACACGAAAATAGCCAGACGGCCATTACTGCTAACAATGAGCATCGTCACCACCAGAACAGTGCATGACTCGTCAAAGTTCACGCACTGCTACTCTATCCTGTATCCCTTGTCGCAGCATCTTTTGCTTTGATGTCAAACTTTTAGAGGACACAATGCTATCTGCGCTACGACTGACGGTAAGCAACGATGCTCCCGCTGTAGTTTTTTATGATCCATAGTAGCCCGGTCCAACGGGCCGACTTGGTTAGTATGAACAGACGACGCGAGTGCTGGCGGTGTCGGCAGACTCCTATCTGCGAAGGAACGATATAGGAACACACTGGGATTGAGTTCGACTTCGTGCTATTGGGAGCCTGTCATGACAACTGGATATATCAAGAACGCATAGAGATACCCTACTCTGTCCAACCCCGGAGGGGGCGAAGCTTGTTCCAGGCGGCAGCAACACAGGAAGACCCGCGGAAGGGGAAAAGTAATATTACCATCGCTAGTGTAAAACGAGAGAGGTTCTCCTATATCTTCCAGCACGATTCGGAACGGCCTACATGTAAACAAGATGTTCTGAAATCGTAATTGCAAATGTTCTTGGATTGCGGCATCGGAAGGTCTAAATCGCCGGGTGGATGCAATACCAGGGTGCCGCACAGACCTCTCCTCATTTTGTTCAGTTCTTATATTTATTCTGCACTAACCCGAGCCCATTAAAACCAATCCGGCTTTAGAACGTTTAATATACCTTGTGTAACATATTATACGGATAAATGATAATAATTACGTCTATACCATAGCATGAATGACGTATCACGCATTACTGCCAGACGCCATCTTGATTTATTCGAAATATGCAATATCCTTGATAGGTCCTGTAACTGTGGTCGGTTTTGTCGTTGATAGAGACACCTTCTTCTAGTAGTCCATTCGCTTCAAAATAACTATCGTTCACGCCATTCGGTTGACTATGTAGATGGATCTCATATCGTCATGCCAATTGTCCGAATCACGTTTGTCAACAAGTAATTAAGGAACGAGCGCTCAAATCTTCTGAAGTAGCGTTGCAAACGAAGAACAACTACCGTAAATAATGCCGCATGATGCATCTGAAGCCAACAAATAGGCATTTTACATTACAACGAATGCTGCCACCTGCAAGAACTGGATTTACGATCGACTGATGCGGGCGAAGACATTTATTGCTACCTAGTGTTATAACCCATAAAGGCAGGCACCGTAGCATATCATGCGTACATTCTATATCTGGTACTAGTTGTACCACTGTAGCCGTTACTACTGTAAAGTCCCTGTTGAAAATTACCCAGCTTTGATCCTCTTCCGTGTTATATTTTCCGGTAATAATAATAGTTGCGATCAACTTCGTATTAGGTAATTAGGGTGTTTTGTTAGCACATACAGCAAATCAATAGAGAATCAGTACCAACGACATAGAGATGTTTCAAGGTAACCCTACAACGGGGGGGGGGGGCTTGACATTGTTACGGGGCTGGCCCGGGGGGCGAAACAATTTCAGCTGTTACTGTTACCACTGACGTTGTGGGCAAGAAGAATCGAAGTAATAAGCGTATTTTACCAACAAAGCGGAAATTTCCTTGCTGGGACGATCAACATGACATAAGTATAATATATAGGAACATTCTGTCTATTAACGTCTTGGCCTGTGTCTGCTATACTGTGCCACAGCAGGCCCGACAAATACACTACGTGACTATTCAGCCACTGGTCAGCTTTTCGCAAGCAGAGCCGATTCATACTATCACCGGTTGATCGATCGTCGACACAAGCTGGAGTAAGCAAACATGTGCTTATTGTGACTTTATTTTGCCACACCGACCAATGATGTACCGATCGTGATTCTAAGCGATGCATAGGCGGGTAAGAAGAGCGGAAAAGGATGAGCTTTAGATTGATTTTGCTGATTGCTATTTAATGCTTTTTTGGGAAGTATTTGTTAACTTTTGTTTAATTTAAACGGGCCACCACTAGCTCAGTTGGAAGAATTGTAATACACTGAGCAACGGAGCAATGGTGCGTCTTCGCTGACCTCCTAGCCATCTTCTATTACTACTTTTCGTTTTTCAGCTCAACGGAGCAAGGAAACAGTATCTATCTGTTTCCTTGCTTCGAGCTGACGATGCTGCTGTAATGGATTCGGATAAGCAGAGTCTGAGCCGATGGCGGTAAACGTGTCAGACTAAAGGAGAGTTATCCACGGGTCCGGTCGGCCCCAGCTAACTGTGCTCCGCTCTTCATTGTCATGCCACTCCTTTTTACAACGATATATAGCGACAGTGTGCGAAATGCGTCTCGAAATGACGTTCCGCTTTTATTACATATTCGGTGCCGGTGGGGCAGGGGACACTTCTCCGCGCTCGACATTAGCAACATAATAACTGTAGAAGCAGTGAAATGATCTGGTCAGAGAAACAACAATGTCAACAATGGTGACGTCAACAAACGGAGAACGTTGGCCGTTTAGCGACAACATCTATTGCCGCCGCCGCTAATGACGATAGTTGCGGCTTACACCTACCGCCGTTTTTGGCACCGTCCTAGTTCATATTTTATAGTATGTTTATCTGTTTCTGATCTGCCCGCATCCCTACCTACACTATCATCACAGTCACTACAGCGACTGCTACGATCTTCGCAATATATTTTTTCTTCATTTCGCAGTAGCCAGACGTCACACTAGCTCGAGGTATTAATCGCTGTTATATCTTCTTTTCATTGTTGTTTACGAGATATCTTCTGTTCGCTAGTTAAACAGGAGTGTGAATACTTTTGATTGATGCACCCTGCGTTGCCACTGTTTCGACAGTGGATATGCTGGAACGATAACTGTACCGCGAGACGCGCGTTTCAGAAACGAGCAGCAGCGTAAAACGAAAAAGAAAAGTCTGCCTGTAGCTGCCGGTATTGTTTACAGCGCACGTATCCGAATCATTCGCACTCACACCAGCCCATGAATAAGAACAACAACAACAACTGCTGCTATTACCCCTACTATAGCACTATACGCTCGTGCGTCTCAGCGCACGCCCGATAAAGCGGCGTCACGACCGATAACGCCGACAAAAGTAGCAGCCAAAACAACACTGGCGGTAAGTGCTCGGCCAGAATTAACTAAAACAAAGCAGACGAAATGCTGTGCGCAGTCGCAGTACGAACGGCAGTCGTCTACCCAGAACCGTTACAACTACGACGATAGATGCTGCCATCCCTAGCGCAGTTTATTTACTTTGTTGTCTTAGCAACAATAACATTGACGACAGCGCCGATTAGGTCGCTAAGAACTGCGTCCTCGTATCGTATGTGGACGATATGTAATTATATTCGATAACGATCGGCGGGTGCGTACAACTATTATAATACAGTAGGTACGTGTGCTCTGTTTAGTTGTGCATAACAGAGTATTGCATGCCCTTATGGATGTAAGATATCCATTTTGTGTTTTACAACTAAAAATTTCGCAGAGTAAGAAATAGGGGAAAACGGACGTGTAGCAGCGTTTCAAAACGATTCAAAAGATACTCTATACAACGTGGAAGAAACAGACATTGCGTACAAATAACCACCTTCAAGACGAGGCAGTCTTCCCCAAACAATCCTGGTAACTAATTCTATCTGACTTCATCCAAATTTATTCTGAGAATTACTGTGCGGATCAAGCGTACACTTCGGACGTAAAGAAACTGCCGCAGCTTTGACTTGTCATTATATTTGACGGTGAGGGTTGGGGGGGGGGTCACAACGTTACGCACGCTTCTTTTAATGATTGATTATACTCTGTTTCAGGAGCCTATATAAGTAATAATTGTACCTATATTTGTTAGGAATGGCTAGAGGAGGAAGCCTATCGCCTATGGTCACAGTAGGCGGATCGCCCATCGCAATATGTAGCCTATGTCCTATTGAATATAGCATACAAATTTTAGTTCGTAACGTAAATAATAACAATAACATGAATAATAATAGTATCAAATTGACTGGAGCTTATGACAGATGGGCAAAGCTTAATCGAAAATAGGCATACCTAACACAAATCGAAGCATACATAGTTGGTTATTGAAGGAGCCGATATTTGACTATGCAAAAACAGTGCATAGCGTCACAAAGTACGAACATCATTATAGTTTTAACAAATAGCTGGCTGTCTACATCAGAGCCTTTACTGCAACGCTTAGAGTCTAACCGGTCAACTTGATATTTGCAGAAAGTTAATAACATACTTCGAGGAATACAATCAAATGTCGTGAACTTTTTCTGTTTTGCGATTCTGGCAGCATGAGTGCAGGGTATCAAGTAGCGCAAAATACCCTTTTAGTTTTTACGCTACCACACAGTGACACGCCTTGACGGTAATGATACACACCATAATAGTTTAACTGTATATTGTACACATCGTTCAGCTGTGTGCTTATACACAATTTTACCGTATCACTTTCGTTTTATTATGATTTTATCATAACATAATTACTGTTGCCACCAGATTACTGCTGTGCCTATACCTTGCTCGATTCTAGACTAAGAATGAGCTTTTCTTAGTACATTGCTGTCAGCTAAATCCATCCGTCTATTCGTTTATTGTCCTGTCAAACGATCAGATTGGACCTGCAGCCGCCAACAGCACCACTGTCATCAGCAGCGATAACGGTAACGGTTAGTGCAGTAGTACACTGGCATATAACTATTCATTTGCTTCGCACCGTTGACCCACCTGGCCTACGCTAAGACAGCTGCGTTGATTTCTACTGATCCATTGCAGAAAGCACGTGGTCGTGACGACAAGCCCAGCTGCTGTATCTCTAACCACCGCATTATCAAACCGTTTGTGCTCGTGCCCGCCCCCAAATTGCAGTCCATCTTTAAGAATGTAGGATCGCTGCCACCGCTGATCGACTAAATTGATGTGAGTTTACGCAGCAAAGAAGAAGCACTGGTAGGAACACTTGGGTAAGACTTGCTGTAGGCCAATCTGGCGATGGTCATCTACCTGCTGTGCGCTGAGCGTGGCCTATCCCATTGAGTAACGGAGATAATACAACATTAAGCAGGTATGCCGTCCTTCTATAGACCTAAATACGTTCGTTTCTTGTTCGCTATTTCTCGGATTAAACAGATAATTCGCAGAGATCAGCAATCAAAACAGCAGCAGCGAGAGTCACATTATTGCTATCTACGAACTAAGTGATATTGCAGCGGGGCAAAAAGGACCAAATACTATACGGACAATAATAGTAAATCGAACTGGCTAAACTCAAGCACAAGTGTACAGAAGGCTTGTGGTAGGAATACTATATTTGTATATATTCTACAGATCGATGTTTATGTTCGCTGGTTGAGCTTAATTATTATAACAGTGAATCATATTAACTTTAACAACCGATAGCTGGCCAAAGTATCGGGTAACTTAAAAGGAAGAAAAAGAAGGTTCAATGAGACGACTATAACTTATATACTCGGAATACATCAGTTTAAGCCGTAGAGATTAATGATCCATGCATCAGGGTCGTTGTATTACTCCCATGTGGACTGCGGGTCATTCTTACCTGTAATAAAGTAAAAGCACCGGTTAGGTTTCTGTTTCCTCAAACCAATTTCATTTGATTCAGAATAGATTAACTAGCTTTAATACTTACTTTATTTAGTCTATAAAATGGTAAACTTTTTAGTAAATTGTTTGCCGCCAGAAAGTCAATTACTTGGATACCGCCATTCCTTTGACATATTTATCGCAAGAGTATGGACGCGCCTAGTGACAACGTATGCGATTTGTCTTTCTGCCTTTTATCGAGCTGGTCCTGCTTTCCCTGGTGGCAAAAGGGTGACAAATAAAGTTGGCAGCTTGTCTTCTGCTAAACAGAAAGCTTCCGCTTACCTAAGATGTTCGACTAATAAGGTTTAGTAGAGCCTGGCTGCATCAGACCATATGTGTCATAAATCATCCAGATGATATGCGTCGTCGTCGTATACGCGGTTCGTCGCCTGAGTAGCCGCAAGACAAAGGCCAGCGCTAGCACGGACTGCTTCTGCTCTCGTGGTTATTCCTGATTTCGCATTGCTTGGACTTCCAAGATTCCTCTACCTTTACTACCCAGAGGCCCCGTGTTTCCTAAAATCCTCTGGCGAGGATATCAGGGAGATCTAGAAGGTGGAAGGACACCGATTATCATTAAGCCGAGGATTAACTACTGTTTTGCGTGGCCTAATGTAGGTTGTCAACCTATTCCGCCTTGTCCTCAGTATCGTCATGATCCGTAGCAAGAGTTGTGTCACGAGGATTGTCGCCATTGTTAATAACATTGCCTGTACCACGAGTAACCTCGCGGTTCCCTCTATGCTAAGCACGGGTCGCTTGTGGATGAGCTCCCCTGGTCAGCCTTGTGGAAGTCAAATCCCCCTCAGTTAAATCCATTGCCACTGACAACTCCTTCGCTTCTGCCGAACTTACGCTTTTACGATCTTATCCCTAACATTTTTTTTACTATCCTTCCTACGAAATTCGATTCCATTTTGACCTCATTTTCATCTTCTAGTTAGTTGCAACAAAAAGCTAACCAAACGTGAGCCGACTACCGCTAGAACACCACTTGCGTTTGCCTACTTTGATAAGGTCTTGATAGAGAAAAATGATCACAACCAGTAATATAATTGTTATATTTATTTGTTAACGATACTATTATTCAAGCTAGGTAATATAGCAGTCGAAAGGGGAAGGACCATAGTAGAACCTGTATCGTAAGAGAATAGCCATAATGCGTCCATTTAGCGTGTGGTGTCGCGTACTGCCAACGGGGGGTAGTGTAGGGTATTAGATATCACAATTGCGCCAATCTATCATAAAGATCGCATAGCGGTATGGCGATTTCTGACAGTGATGCCCCCCATAGTAGTTCCCACCCATCACCTCTTGTCTAGACATGGGTCTAAGCTCTCTATTGAACACTATTTCTACTTCTACAAACATTGCGTTAGCCGGCCGTCAACGTGACAGTGATTAACTTGGCAGCACCAGAGCGCTGACTCTATGTGCCACTGTCATCGGAATTTGCAACGATGAAAAAAATGATAAAATTTTGATTTTTAACGTTTCACGGCGGCGTAATGTAACATTAGAACGCCAACGCGGCTAACATCACGTTAATATTGGATGAGGATGTTTGACGCGATGTGGAAGGAAGCAAATATCAAATGAAGATCGGTTTATCATTAAAACAGTTCTGCTAGTGGTAGTAGTAGCGGTGACGGCCAATAGTGCGACAGAACTGAAACTGCACTGCGTAACGTATGAGCGTCTCCTGAAGCACCCAGCGACACGGCACCCTGGGCGTCCGCGGAGCCCTTTCTTATTTGTCGGTCAGCCACTTCAAACATGACCGATACGAGAATGTCTATCTATTGTCAGACGGCCCAGTCTGGCCCAGAGTGTCATTCTCCCAAATGGAGGATATTACGGGGCAGCTGCATTGACAGCGGTCGAGGCAGCTTCGTGGAACAATCTTCAGCGATCGTCTATGACGGCAATTGCAGCGATTGGAAATGGGCCAGGATGAAGCCTTTTCGTCTGATGTCTTATTTTTTAGCATAATATCTTCACTATGAGTAAAGGTTATAGTCATGTCTAGCAAGCTAGTAAGTAGGTATTAGGAAAATGACAGATAGAAGCAGACGGACGGTCTGTGGTCATCTTCTGTATAGACATCATGCGATCGGAAAGCTACCGTAGTACATATAGCAGACGGAGGGAAACATTTGAAAAGAAAAAAATATTAGTTAAACAGACGACTGCCCAGATCCTGCCAACGATGACGCAAAGGCCTAAACGAAGGGACCATCTGGCATATCGACACTGCCATCAAGTTGCTTGAATTGTATTTAAATTGAATCAGATTATAGACATTCTGCTGCTGCATGCCAAATAATAATTCTATTTGATTTTCACTTTCATTGAACTTTTCCTTTTCTGCATATGACTTATTCTTTACCGTTATTTGCTTCGTTTCCAGTTGATGTTTTTTACCACCCCTCTATTGTACTGCAGGTTGCTCATGATTGACCTAAATTTGGCCTTGTTATTTTGGCTTTTTTTAAACGAACTTTGCTGACAGAGCTTTTCGTTGTCTTCTCTGTGATTGTTATTGTCGCCGTCGTCGTTGTTGTTGCGTAGACAGTATTATCATTTCATTATATTTGCCTCAGATCTCACATCTTCGGATCACCTCGTGTCAGTTTATTGCGGGGGATTCTCTGCGGGGGAACAAAATTTCGTTTGTGGTACCCTCAATTCCGTGACGTGTCGTATTGGATAGTTCGGCAGCTTTCACCTGAAGCATGCCTTTTACTTTGTTTACTTTTTTTTTTATCATCGCCATTGCAATTTTCCCTTCTCTCTTTTTCAAAAAAAAGAAAAATGAGCGTTCATTTTTCATGGTTAGATGACCGTTGTTATTGGTCGCATCTTTTTCTCGTTTTGAGCTCTTTGTAAAAAAGCAGCAAGGAAATATTTTTGTCTGCGCGCTTCGTATCGAAAAAGCACTATACTGCGGCCGTTACTGCCGGCGCCGTCGCCACCGCTGTCACAACTTCGAGCATAACGTGCCTCTGTTGTTATTGTGGGGTCTGTCAGATCTGCTAAATCCGTTGGGCAATTACCTGTGTAGGTACGACGCAGCACATGAATTTCATGGCGGGTTGCAATGTTACAGTAATTTTCAGAACTGACGTTCGAAGAGACCGGACGACACTCGAAGCTGCTCCGAGGACCAAAATGGCAATAGACACCTTTTAGAAAAACTTAAAGGTTGTCGGAAGTACACCAGTTCCTGACAGCTGGCCAGAATGATGATTATGATCATGAGGCTCTTTCGGGAACGCAGCGATGACGACGACGACGCTGCCAGCAGGGGGGGGGAGTGGGGGTGGAAATGCCGAGGCTGTTTGCCAGCAATGCCTAAAAGGGGCGTTTGCCAACATAAACGGAAAACTGCTTCAAGCATTCTAGCTGATACTGAGTTGGCGATCAGAGGGTCGAAAAATATATGCGTCAGAGTAACAGACAAGTAAAACTGAACACTGTGACGGCTTGGCAAGAGAGGGACGTTAAGCATCATGGTATACGCCACCCGCATCTAAGTAAACGAAAGATGGTCCTCTCCTCCTGTCGGAGCCCCAGGGGTGTCCGAACATGATTGCTGAAGTGATGCACTTCTAAAAACAGCCGTAGCCGACAATAAGTGGCGCACTTACCCAGATCAATTGGCAAGTGCAGTGCTTTTTTTACTGGCGGAAGCTCTAGTTTAGGAGACGATCGATTTTGTATGCCCGATGACATTTGCCAAGGCAATAGGCTATTGAAGAAATGGCTGGTTAGAAGTCACCACGTCTGTAAAAAATGTTCTCGATGATACTAACTTTTATTCTATTTAACAAGTTTTGTTTGATTGGACGGTAGAGAAGTTCAATGCAGGTAGATTCTCCGTAGAAGTCACTTTGCCGCCATTATGTCAGCTTTTTTGATTGTTCAATAATCAATCCAGCCAGTCCTAGTGAATTCGCTTACGGAAGTGACAAACCAGTTCCTTTAGAAGGATACATTCTTAGCATATATTTGCTTGATTGAAAAGAATATCGCGACACAACCTCCGAACGATGCTTTTCTGCATATGGATTGTATTCCAATTATGTGTACGCACATACACGTATACAGTGCAATACCATTTACATGAATGCATTAATTATACATATTTTCTTCTAATTATAATTTTTCTAAATCTTGATAACGTTGATCCACACTGTTCTATTGACGGTTTTTTTTTTCTACCGCTAGAGGCCAGCCAGCTGCTTTAACCAGGGCTATCTGCCCACCAGCAGCGCCAATCGACGCGTTACAGGACTGATAACGGTCGTCGGTCCACGTATCGAACAACCGACGTCAGCAGCAGCAGCAGCAGCAGCGAGAATAAAGTCAGCGACAGTCAATACGATGCGATTGTAGTAAACGTTGTTCGGAGCCAACGTCGCCAGCTAGAGCAAAACCATCACAGAAAATAAGTCC